CATCACTAGGTGATAGGAATTTTTCAGCTCCATTATACTCTTACGGGACCACCGCCTTATATGCCATCCATCATTGAAATTCAAACTCATTGTGTCGAAAACTGAACCTCCAAACCTGGTTTCCTTTGTTTCCTATATCAGTAAATGAACCCACTATCCACCCAAATGCCCATTCGGAAACTTAGGGTCATTGTTTACTCTTCTTTCTTCCTTAGCCCCTAGAGCCAATCAATTACCAACTAATCCAAATTCTACTTCCTGAGCACTTCTCAACTCTTATCTCTACTGCTATAATCCTAGACATAGCTAACATCATCTTTTGCCAGAATTACTACTATAGTTTCTTGACTGATCGGTGTGCTGCTTGCTTCCTTACATAAGGTTGAGAATTCATAATACAATTACAGCAATCTTTCCAAAGGACAAATTTGATCATGTCACATCTTTGCATTTATTTATCTGATCATATCACATCTCTGCATCGATTGATTGATTGCAGAGTCTCACTCTGTCTCCCAGGCTGGAGTGCGATGGCACAATCTCAGCCCACTGCAACCTCCACCTCCCAGGTTCAAGCAATTCTCCTGCCTCAGCCTCCCGAGTAGCTGGGATTACAGGTGCGCGCCCCCACGCCTGGCTAATTTTTGTATTTTTAGTAGAGATGGGGGTTTTACCATGTTGGCGAGGCTGGTCTTGAACTCCTGACCTCAGGTGATCCACCCGCCTCTGCCTCCCAAAGTGCTGGGATTACAGGCGTGAGCCTCCGCACCTGGCCCACACCTCTGCATTTTTTACTTTAAAGCTGCCACATTACTTTCAGAATGAAACAGAACAAGTCCATTTTTATTTTCTTTCACTGCATTGCATATGGTACTCAAGTTGTGTTGTGTATAGCTAATAGGATGCCATTCACATTTTATACATCTTTATTATGTTAAATCTTTTTAGTGTTTTTATTATAATTTTATTGACAACAAAATAGATAATGTGTCTTTATTACAACAGATTTCAGTAAATGGTAATAAAATGTTCAAAAACAAAATAAAAATTAAATTTCTGACAGATACGGTGACCTTATTTAACAATGTTAATACACATACATACTACTTTGAATTTACAGTGTTAATCTAGCAACATCTAAATGGTCTGCTTTTGAGCAAGGAGATTTTTTTAAGCACATTGTTTCAATTAAAATCAGATTTTAAAAATGTTCTTTGTATTAGTGAACTAAAATAGTATGCTTAGTACTCACTTTAAATCCCTAAGTATTTATGACCTATTTAAAAAGTAATCACTTATTATTAATAATTGATGAACAAAGTAGTATGTATACCTGAATTAGAGCTCTCTCTTCATATTTGTGTGTGTTTGGGCCCATGTATTGAAGGGATTATTTATGGAAATTTCACCATTAAAATTAATTGCTGTTAAATTTTAGTGACTTTCACATTAGTTTTTATAACCACTTTATTGAGATGTAGTTAACATACCCTAAAATTCACCAATCTTAGAACATTTTCATCATCCCAAAAATAAACCCCCTATCTATTAACAGTCCCCTTTTCAACTCCAACTCCTCTAAAGTTCTAGGCAACTGTTAGTCTATCTTCTGCCTATAAATTTGCCTCTTGTGTGACATTTCACATAAATAGAATCACACAAGTACTTCGCAACTAGTTTTTTCATGTGTCATACTATTTTTAATTTTTTCCCATGTTGTAGCATACATCAGTACTTCATTTGTTTTTATCCATTGCATAGATAATACTGTATTTATATCTATTCTTTCATCTGTGATGGGACATTTGAGTCGTTTCTACTTTTTGACTATTATGAGTAATATTACCATGAACATTTGTGTCTAAGTTTTTGTGTGGACATAGTTTTTTTTTTTTTTTGAGACGGAGTCTTGCTCCTGTCACCCAGGCTGGAGTGCAGTGGTGAGATCTCAGCTCACTGCAACCTCTGCCTCCCGTGTTCAAGCAATTTTCTGCCTCAGCCTCCCAAGTAGCTGGGATTACAGGCGCCCGCCACCACACCCAGCTAATGTTTGTATTTTTAGTAGAGTTGGGTTTTCACCATCTTGGTTAGGCCGGTCTTAAACTCCTCACCTCGTGATCCACCCACCTCGGCCTCCCAAAGTGTTGAGATTACAGGCGTGAGCCACCGTGGCTGGCCTGTGTGTCCATATATTTTTATTTCTTTTGGGTATATACCTTGGAGTGGAATTGCTGGGTCATATGGTAACTCTGTTTAAACTTCGACAAACTTCCAGTTTTCATCTTTTTGTTTT